AACTCTATCCATATTATGAATACCAAAGAAAACCCCAGTAACGTTGGGATTACTCCCATCTACTTTGCTACTACTGTGTTACATCTTTAAATACTAAAACTATTATGTCCATCAACGATGATAAATTAAGAAATCGTGTACGAAAATTGTAAGAAGTTATTACAGCATGAAAAAAAAAATCCTTATGTATATCAAACTACACTACTTGCTCCTACTCACCCATTCTGAATGGAATGAAAATAAAGGCGTTTGACTCCTTAAAATTCAGTCATCTGTGACCTTTTAAATTAAGTCAATACCAGTAGTGGAACAACACATTACAGCCACCTATTATAAGCATCTTTTCGGACAATCGGCTTTTTAATTGTGCTTTTTATTGTTTGAAAATACTGATGTCCTTTGAATAATGAATTGCAAATTCAACGTGAACAGCAATAACGGCTGCACAAAACCAACCTTTTTCCTGAAGTAATCGAAAAGTGCGAATTATTTGCACAGCCTCTTTGGTCCCGGAGGCTTAAGCGAAATGGATAAACACTGCCAGTGATGACACGAACGAAATGGAAATTGCTGTATTCACACGGCGAACATATATATTTATAGTTTGAACTGCAAATAGAGGGCTGTGTCCGCGAAGCCATTAACACCGAGGGTGTGGGGGGGGGAAGACCCAACAAAAAAAGGATAAGAAAAGCAAAAAGGGAAGGAAGGCGTCTCCTCCTGGGAGGTGAATTAACAGCATCTCTTATCTGTGCGCTGGTGGGGATGGGACCCGGTAAATCAAATGAAGGGAAAAGCCGGCGTCTGCGGGGGCGGGGAGGCAAAGCAAAGGGGGGGGGTCGCACATTTTGCCTGTCGGTGGGGCCCCACACGTCTCGTCGGAAACCTTCCCCCATCTCCTCGGTCTCTATCCTACCTCCCGCGGTATGCTTGCGCATACCTTCCGAGGCAGGAGCCATCCACCTACTTTTTATAGCAGCGAGGAGCAAGGCTATTAATAGGCTATCTAATTACTCCGAGCTGTTAACTCTGAAGTCTCTAATTCTGTGATGTGGTTGTTTTGATTTGCTTTTTCCAACCCAGTAGGACTCGCATTTACAGAACTGGTCAGACTCGCTCTGGAAGATGTTATTTTAAAGTGTTAAAATCAACTTTCATTCCAAGCACGAGCAAACCCCCCAAATTTTGACATTTCTCACAAAAGCAGCAACTGAAAACATTATTAGTTCGGATCAAGAGAAGCGTTTTGCTTAGCTAACATTGCGAATTTCGTTGGGTTTTTTTTTTTTTTATTTTTATTTTTTTATTTCGCGCTTGGTCTGAGACGTTTCGGTAAGGCAGGTAAATGGCAGGGGAAACGATTTCGGAAGGGATGGCGAGGGGTCGCCACGATGCCAACAGACACTGAGCGGCTCCGCCGGAGCTCAGCACGGACACGCGTGAAACGGAGCTACTCCCGCAAAATGCCTCCGGGAGGACGGATTCATTTAGTCCTGCGGAAAACGTTTCGCTGGAAGGTTTTGACAAGCTCTGATGGTTTAATTTATTTCCTGGGCAGAGAAATAAGAAGGCAACGATGCGTGGGATGGGTTGTCCGGCAGGTTTCGATGCAGAAAACGATATTTTTCTTAGCGGTGTGGGGTAGTGGCGACAACCGGGGCAGGGAAGACTTGGTGACGGAGGATTTTCCTTGTGTGTCGTGTTTTATACTAAGCGAAAAAAAGAATTAAGTCTCTGCAACCTCTGCTGTGAGGAGAGGGGCGGAGGCAGAACAGCTAATTGCAGCTCGGATTTGATGCTGCCTAACGCCCGTGATGAGGCACGGGGGGAGGATGAGGAGAAGCCCCGCTCTGGAGCGGTGAGGGGGGAGAAGCGCGGCTCCGCCGTGCCCCGCGTCCCTCCGTTTCCAGCTCTCTCCCGCAACGAGCTCTCGCTGCAAGAAGCCCGAGAGAAAATTTCCCGGGGGCTTTCCGTGTCCGACCCGGCAGAAGCGACCTCTGAAAGCCTTCCCCGGCACCCAGGCAGGAGCGGGCAAGGACCCCGGCGGGTCCCCCACGGCCCCGGGCGGCGGCTCCCACTCGCCCCGCGGCCCTGTCCCCTGCGGCGAGGCGGTGGGGCCTGGGAGGAGGGACACGGACTTTCCTTTTGGGCTCACTCTACAATTAAAAGTAATGTATAATATAATATTCGTCACCGCAAGGAATACGTGAAACACAGCCCCACCTCTTCGTAGCAAGGGCATTAAGGTACCCTTAGATAAAAGCATCAGAATTAGGCCATTTTCGTCACTTAAAAACCCAGCGTAGCAATAGAACCAAACCTCAGCTCCTCATTTTCAAAGCCTCCGGGCATCTGTTGGAAAGAGAGACAATTTCTCTCTCTCTCTCTCTTTTTTTTTTTTTTTCTTGGAGAAAAGAAGC